TTCTATCGTTTAACAGAAAATTTGTTGAAAATTAGTTCTAAAACTTTGGAAAAAAGTAAGCTATTTATGTTTTTACTGCAAATTATGATACAGTTATTCAAGTCCTCTGCAGAAATATGAAAAAAAGAATTTTTACGAAAAAAACCCGATTTAAATAGTTCTCTATACTTTGTGCCTTTAAAATCGATTTCAAAAAAAAAAAAAAAAAGAGGAACTGTGCGGCACAGTTGTGCGATTGAACAATTTCCAGTTAAAAGTTAAAAAGCACTAAAAGATTTATGACTCTGAAAATTGTCAAATATAGTGCAATAGTCTTTGTACTCTCTGACGAAGCAAATTGGATGTTTTAGACGCTTTGTTACTTAAGGAAAATCTGTAATTTATATACCGACCAGTAGTTTACCAAGGAAACTTCTTAAACTTTTATAAAATTTTCATGAAGCTTTATTACTTTTTTAATTCATAGACAGCTCACTGATTAAGTGACATCTAATTTTATCTATAACACAATAGAACTAGCAAAAGAACTTAAACTTTTAGGAATTATTACAACAGTAGATTCACCAGGTTATATTCGTAAAGAATCAAGCAATCTTCCTGAATCATCACTGAAAGTAGATAGCTTAAATGCGTTTAAAAATAATTCAAATAACACTCAACTGATCTCATATTTAATCGAGTTTTGACATCAAATATTACGTATTAATTGCTCTATCTTTCCTTTTTCTTTTTGCTCTTTTTTCTATAGAATAAGAGGTATGTATCGTCATGTTTAAACAAAATAAACATTTTCTGTTTAGCGTTAGGCTTCGGTGTTTACTGCATTTTTGTGCTACTGAAATTGTTCAGTTAGAATTCTGAAATCCTGCAAGTTTAATTTCACAAATTTTTAAAAATTTCATCTTTTAGGAGATCTGGTTATTAATTAAGTGTGCGTATCAGACGCTTGATCGATTAACTCAAATCAGCTATCAAATATTTAATGTTTTTCAAACAGATAATGTTGCATTTAAAAAAGTAAACGGTATTTAAAAAGCTTATTGGAGAACCTCTGAAGCTTATAACCATCAAACGAGAGTAACAGTCTATGTTAATGACAAAAAAGCTAAATTATTATTTGATAGAGAAACGCTTTACAGTCTCAACAACGGCAATAAGAAGTAGAAATATATTAAAGAATTTAATTTTTTAATACTGATTTTTGGTTACTTCTAAACGTAACTTTTAAAGATCTTTCAGGTAGAAAAATCTCGATTTGTATTTTATCGTGACAAAACTTATAGTATCATTTCCTACTGTTTTCATGTTAAACGGCGATTTTCAGAATAACAGACCTTTACAAGACTTTAATTTAACATTTACAGGTATTATTAATATTTTTCAAATTCAGATAGATATTCGTCGTTCCAGACAAAAAAGTCGAAAAACTTCACTGAAAAATAATGTGCTTAACAAGCGAAGTTTTGAAGAAAAATTTAAAAATTGTATTGTTTATTGTAATAAATTTCTTTCAAAAGTTTACAACATATCTTAAAGGAATTAAAAACAATTTCTTTCATATAACACAATCTTGTGTTCATATAAAACCGGATTTTAGAGAAATTTTGTTTCTATCAGGTACCTGTTGATTACTAAAAAGGTAACAAAAGTGTGGTAATGCTTATCCAAATATTTTAGCAAATAAAAAGCTTACCAATTCCTAAACCTAATATTAAACTTATTATATCAGCTTTATTTGTAAAAGACAATTGGCACAATTTTGATTCAACAGTGGTGCAAAATTATCATCATCGTTACAGTCTCTTAATAAGGTGTAATTAAAGATAAAAATCTTGTTTAAAATCAAGAAGACGATGCACGAAATGTTCAACAGTAATTTACTGCTCTGTTTAGTGTACAGCAGTATCACTATAACAGCGGTGCTGATTTTATGCATAGGTGTAACAATGACGATACCAGTTTAAAACTTATACAGCATTAACTCAATTAATCTTCTTTATCCTTCTTGAAGAATTTTTCAGTTTTTTTTTTCATGATTTATTGTTGTAATTTAAATACAGGTAAAATAACCAGCAATTTTGAGTCAACTATTTCACAGAACGTTGAACATATAGGTGCTAAATGATTGATGGTTTCAAGTTAAAACTGTTAGTACTATTATAACATATATGGTAAAATAGAATTTTTCTATTCATGCACATAGTTTTTTGTTTGAAACATTAGCGGTTGCTTTACCGCCGTTCTATTTTTTATTCAGTTTATTCTTTTGTCCTTTCTTGTTTTTATCGTTGCCGTTTTCATTATACTTTGTTCTTCAATTCAATATTTTGTATTTGTGATACAAAAAATTGCTATTATAGATTTACGGACGTTTCTGAAAGTTGTTCACTGCAATTATTGCATCAACTGATTGCGCAAATCACTTTTTTGATTATCGATATTGGACCAATTATAATCAGAAGAAATTATGACAGAGGTACAATGCTCCAACAATTAGCAAATTTAAGAAAAAAAATTTTTTTAATTCCTATTCATTAAACAACTTATTTCTTCTGACACTGTACACTCTCCTAATGTTTTCTTCCCACTGAGACTTAAAGACATTTTTTCTAAACAATCGAACGTATTGCTGTTAAAATTATTTGTTAAAACTGAGTACGAGTTGTTTCCAGAAGAACTTTTTTTTTAGCTTCATCTCTTGCTGGAGACAAACATTGAACTTTCTTAACTTCCTAACCAGAAAAAAAAATGATAGTGGCTTGATAACGTTTTCGATAGTTTACATATATTTGCTTCTAAAAGATTCGGCCGATGAGTTCTGTGATAGCAGTTCTGACAGTTAATTGGAAGCCTCACAAGTATTATAGCATTAAATAGGCTGCAGTCAAATTATCATCGTAGTGTCTAACGGTTTTGCTAATATAACCGATACTGATACCGCATAAGACAAACAGTTCAGTGACCATTAGAAGGATAACATCTGGAGACGGCTTAAAGCTATCTATAATATCCCATTTGCAAACGGACTTTTACAGCGATTTTGTCACGTATTACTATCATCCCATTTTTAAACCCTCCTAAGAGCAATATCAATGTAATTGAGATTATAATTGAACTATATCCAAGTTCCACCAATAAAATGCAAAAAATTTGTTGTTTTCAACTCTAGTTAATCATCCGTCAAATTTTAGCACTAAAGCTAAAATTTTAGCATTACACAGTTGTTCTAGAGCTACATTTTTTTTTTTTTTCAGAATATATGTGAATTTTGGGCAACCTAAAATTAAAAAGCTATATAATTTGAAGTTAAAGTAGCACTGATTCTATCATATACCGAAAAATACCAGTTCAAACTTGAATATTCAAAAACACTTATTACATATATTTGCTTCTGAAAGATTCGGCCAATTTAACGACCAAATCGACTCGCCATAGTTTTTGAACGTTTTGTCAGAAATCTGCCTTCAACTTGAAAAAAGTAATTTGAACACAATAAATTAAAAATAACACTTTTTTTGAATATACCTAGATTTTTATAAAATATTTTAAAGCACTGATAAGCAAAACGAAGAAGATATAGAAAATTAGTCACCATTACACCACTCCGTTAATTAAGCGATAAACAGTTTCCATGCATTATACTTTCTCACAAAAAAAGCACCCCTAAATATTGAAAAGAATGATTGAATTAGGTGCCATTAGTAAAAAACTAAGAGTACCTGTACCGTTCTACACATTTTCAAGCCACCTTTAAGTTTTCTCCAAGACCAACTACATGACTATGCCGGTGTGCCATTCTTCTAGAACGAGATTTACAGCAACCTGTAAGAAAGTAATTTTCACTGCCTCCATAAAGAAAGATTTTAAGAGGTTAATAACTCAGAAAACATAAATTGCTGGGGTAAAATTCCAAAAAAAACTCACTTAACCCAATAGATGTAGCAGAAATTGATCTTCATCAAAATGCTAAAATATCTCGACTAATTTTTACTCACTGAATGCATTCAACAAGCTCTGTTTCTCTTCAGACTTTCCAAAATTCAAAATAGCTTTAAGAGAGCATTTGAGTCAATAACTTTAAACGTGTGCCCAGCAGCTTCCCATTCCACACGGTCTCAGCTCATTTTGCAGCAGTTGCAACAGGATATCCTTGAAACTGTTGACCGGCACCGTTATTGTTGAAATAATCCCACCTTTTCGTAATAATACAATCTATTCTCTGATAAATTGCTCTTATTTCGTTACTTGACCAGAAACCATTTATTTACAGGAAACTACAAATGAGGTAGAGGAAGAGGAAGAAGGACTTGAATTGAACAGTTTGTATACATTTATTCTGTTTTCAAGTGAACGCTTAATCCACAACCAAAAAGATATCAAAAGGCTCCATTAGTAGGGTCACCGCCTTCAGGCAGCAAAAAATTTTCCACCTCCTCTTTTTTATTTCCCCTATTTCGCTCCTGCAACGCCATCCTACTTTCCTCCCTCTCTCTTCCTACCAATGAAATTATACAGGAATCACACCCAATAGTTAAGGCTTTCCGGGAAGATAAAGAGAGAAAAAATAGAGGACGTGAACAAGAGAGGAAAGGGAATAGAAAAGATTGAAAAGATTCAGCTACTTTCTGCCACCTTTCATAACAATTTACTTCTAAAGTTATAATACTGCTTGCTCTGCGACCACTAACTTTTTCTGAGCGATGAAAGTTTGTACCATAGACAGAGCCATTCAAAACCAAAAAATAAAGAAGGACAGAGAAAAATAAGCAATTTTTTTGCTGTAGAGAGCATGAGAAAAAAAAGAGCGGTGCCAACCCTACTAATCAGTCACAGACTTATAGCACAGCCAAAATTTTACAAAACTTCCCACACTGAGATTCATGAATATAAATGCTTTTTTAACCAAAAAACAACTAAACGTATAAAGAGTGAATATATTTCAAAGGTATTTAGTACCAATCAGCAGTTCATAACTCAAAAAATCCGAGACTAATTTAGGTATGCTAATATATGGTGGAATAGCAGCTGCAGTTCTTCTTGTACTATGTGTCTACTGCCAAGCAAACCGCAAAAGGCAATTCCCAATGCCCTCTCCTGCTTGGGGAGGGGGAATGCCACCTCAAGGTTTTCCTCCAGGTCCAGGTCCAGGTCCAGGAATGGGACCTCCAAGACCAGGTCCAGGTCCTGGTTTTCGTCCTGGGATAGGCATGAGACCGCCAGAGCCTAGACCTCCTCAACCATGTGGACCATATGGGTCACTAGGTCCCCCACCAAGAATTCCAGCAATGCCCGCGCCTGACATGTATGGGCAGTTTTCAGGAACGTATGGGCAGCCTTCTGGAATGTATGGGCAGCGACCCGGATTTGTCGCTCCGATGCGACCTCCGGCAATGCGTCCTCCAATGGCGATACGACCTCCTCCAATCGTTCAACCTAGGCCGATACTGCAACCACCTCCGATAATCCGTCCACCTCAAACCATTGATAGCATTTACAATCCAGTTGTTGCTCCAGTTACAGTTGGCTTTGGTACTCTGACAACTCTTTGTGCTCCTAGACCACAAGTTAATGAAAGCGCGGCTAGCGCACTTGGAAGTATTTATGGTGCGCCAGCAACATACGCGTCAGCTCCGGCTGCAGGACCTACATATGTCGTAGGACCTCCAGTCCCAGCGGTTGCTCCTCCATCCATATATGAAAGTATTTACGATGCACCAAGTCATATTTATGAAGATCTCGGAGCCTATTCTTCGACGGGCCCATCAGTCCTACCAGGAATGATACGTAGAACGCATTTTTGAAAGGCTGCCCAATTCTGCGGTGTTGTTTTTTTGCACAGATCTAGCCTTATGAAGTCTTAAATTGTTTGAGGATTTTTTGAAGAAGTTACTTAAGCTGCTTGATAAAATTTGAAGACGGGTTAAACTAAAAAAATTAAAAATTCTCGCTCTTTAATTCACTAATGACTTTTTTTAAGTGTTACTCTGATGAATTTCAGAGAACTTGAGTTGATCCTTGTAAACCATGATATACTGAGGACTACCCATGGCTTAAAATTTATTTATAATCTAAATGTTAAGTTGTCAGTGTTATGTATGCATCAAACAAGTCATTTGTTGACATACTTGTTGTTACAAACACTATTTTTTGGAACTATTTTGGAATTGATAGTGAAGATTATGTTTCGCTTATCGATATAGCAACGCGGTGATGGTGATGATGAAGTAACCTGAAATTTCGTACGACCTAAACTAGTCATCCTTAATTTTATCATTCAGTTTGAAAAACTTCCCTTCTACTCCAAACAAAAGGTCTAGAAGTGTTTGCTACTTTTTTAGGTGGTTATTTTTGATGGCAAATTACTGATCTCTATACTTATTTGCTGGAGTCAAGATAACTACTGTAGCGTTTCCTGTGTTCATGCGTTTCAAAATGTATAGTCATCAATGTGAGGAAAGTCGAAAGCATCATTTCAAAAGTGCTACGAGTTCCTTTACTTATCTTAGCTTCAGCAAGTCCACATTTTTTTGTGTTTTCAAAACAAAGGAATCTATTTAACGAAAACACTTCAAAAAAACTATCACGGAAACGTCTGATGCTGTACAGTACTTTACTCGACCGTTCAGATGAATACGAGTTATGTGTTTGCTGTATTTTTTGTGCTCTCGCGTACTGCCTTCTTTACAACTACTCTGTAGTTATGTCACCACTGCCCCACGTTACAATTGCATCTAAAACTGTATCACAGAAAAATGGCGAAATATATCACGTAAACAGAAAAACATTACTCCGCAGTTGTTGCCGTATCAGCCTAAAAAGCACTCTAAGAAACTTGGACAATGTTGGCAGACGACACGATTAAAGCAAAAGTACCATGATTACCAACAAGTAGTAGATCCGTCTAAAAAAACCATTAAAAATCACAGCAGTAAAATCCAGCTAATTTTGTCTAACTAATAAGTATCCCCGTTTGCACACGCTCATCTTTCGTACATTCCGTATCACCGAACCCTCCATACAATCTTCTGATTTTTAAGCCCCTTTTATACTCTATCGAAATCGCTGAAAATCTAACAGTTTCACAGTCTCACGTGTTTGTCCTCCACAGAGCTCCACAGCTGACTCGTACAAGAAAGCGCCAGTGAAAACCAGGATAAAATTTTAATAGTTTCTGCCCCGAACAGGGCGTTTACAACACAAAAATCGTCACTCCTCCTTAGTTCCTTCATATAAAACTGGCAACTTACGTTGCATATTGATACACATCTAGTAAATTTCAACAAAAACTTAGTCCGTTCAACTTCCAGTTAAAACAGCGAAAACACGCAATTTAAAGAAGCAGGTAGGTATAAAATAAAAGTTTATTGGACAATTGTCTTATACAGTGTTTACTGTTATTACATCATTTACAGAAAAATTTTGAAAAGCATATGAGAAGCACAGATACTAATGAATGTTATAGAAGACGCCGACTTCACACCATTTATACAAATGTTGCTGCCTAGTTCGAAACCACAGACAGAACAAACTACATAAAAAAATAGTAAAAGGTAAAAATAAAAAAGAGCAAGAGATAAGTAATTAAGTGAAGCAACAAGAATGAAAAAAAAAGCAAACATACCTCGTATTTGATTGTTCATATTGAAATTCCACTGTAAGAACCACTTTGAACGGAAACGTGAAAAAAAAAAGACGAAACCAACACGATTAAACTCAAAGAATTTTGCGAAAAAACTGAATCCAAATTACTAAACAGTTTTTTGTACGGTGAGCTAAAAACTGAGCGGAAACTTGCTGCAAGTACGACAAAAAAATTATTCTTTGAGCACAATACATAATATCATTAAAAAAGTTATACAATTTCAAAAGCATGGACCCGATGGGAAGATTCACAGAGTGAGAAAATTAACAAACCCTACACGCTTGTAATGAGATCACTGCGGCAAAAACAAAGCAGTCAGAAAAGTAAAAAGAATGAAAAGCATAAAATTCAGAGCCTACAAGGAATAATCAGTAGTAAGTCGGGCTAGAATTTCGTTTGTGATTCAAGGTAACAAGAGAATAACAAACTAACAACATAAAATAATATATGCAAACGCTGTACACGATGAAAATAAAAAATAAAATGACTTCTAAGTAATATGCAAAGTGAGCAATTCCCGAAGGCCAAAAAGGACGACTCAAAGTTAAAACAATTTTTAAAGCTTGCATCACGCGGTTTTTTTAAACGACTTAGCAACTGGCATAAACTCTAGCTTCACTTCGAGACGCCTTAGAGATCAAGATTAGTAAAAATAATACAAGAATTATAAAAAAGAAAATCCCGTTATCAAAAATCCAAACAAATCGAAAGCTAATAAGACTTGAATAACATATTGCAACAATTAAAAAGACAATGAGATGTGCAAGACCTCAAGGTCTCGAATGAAAAAACTACTGAAAAAAGATCTTGAAAACTTGAAAAACAATTTTGCAATCAAAAACATCTACAAAACTTATAAAATTACAAAGAAGTGAGTAGTCACCAAGGCCATATTAGCACCGTAACTATTTTAAAAAAACAAACCTCGAAAAATAGAAGGTATTGGCACACACAAACTCAAAAAAAATTGACAAATAAATATAAAATCAAAAACTATTGCAAGTGCTCTGAAGCCTTAATATTTAAAAAGCTTGAGAAAAAACACTAACATATCATTATAGTAGGAGAAACAACCCGTCAGCGAAAATTCAAGTAAACCTGGACAAAAAACTTCACTGGAGTTCGTTACCTCCGAAAGGCTGGCCCCAGTGATGTAAGTGGTCTAAAAAAAGAGTGTCAAAAAGTAAAACATTGTGGTTGTGTTTCGACAAAGAGACGATCCAGCCTTCAGAAGTAATTCGTACGCCCACGCAACGTGACACCTAAAAATGCAAAAATATTGTGAGTTTTCTTTAATTGTGCATTTTATTGTTCTAGTCCTCAACTTTCGGCATTAGGTTGGAAATGCAAAAAGATGTTTTCTACATCTTAAAAAAAGTTCAACAAACTTTTCAAGTCATACAAATTTCCCAGCTAGAAAAAACCGATTGGAAAAAAGCTGAAAACAGAGTGAACAAAATTTTAAAGGAGATACCAGTACTTACGGAAGTCTTATATCTACAACTCACAAAGACTCGAAAAAAAGTAATGTTCACACTTATTCCCACAATTCATTTCTGGTGAAGTTAAATTATATGCAGAAGTTTTGCTTTCCACTGAAAAAAAAAAATAAAAATTATTTCTAAACTAAAAAGCAAGAACCAACCTTAATTTGAGTGCATTCAAAATCTTGAACTTTCTGGCCAGATTTGGAAAATGCCAAAATATGAAAGTGATTCCCGTGGGAATCAGCAACAAGGACATCACCCTCTTTTGATATGTCGATACCAATCGGATACGGGGTAGTTTCCATAGACCCAAAAGTGCGGATCATTTCACCTAAATATACATATCGCGAGCTAAAAATCCTAAAGAAACGTTACCAGTTTGAACTCAGAACACAAAAAATAGTCCAGTAAAGATAATTTTACACTGTGAATAGACGAAAAAATAAGAACCTATCAAACCCGTACACAATAACATCGCGGAATTACAGTAAAAGCTTAGAAAAAAAAACAATTTATAACAACGAGTACCCTCAATATTAAAGACCACAACACGGTGCTGCTTATAGTCCGTCACATAATACAGTCCTTCAAAGATGGCTACATCAGACGGTTCGCTAACATATTTACTACAATCTGCCCACTTTAACACCTGTTAAAGGCAGAACGATATTATTTTAAAGAGCAAACAACGAAGCCAATAAGGAACGTATTTGCTATGTTAATAGAAAAATGTGTTTACCGAGGCTGAATCCTGTTCAATATCCAAAACAAACATAATGCTCCCACCACTAAAAATGACGACTTGAGCAGATTCGTTGACAGCAATTGCAGCAACGTAATCAATAAAAGGTGCAACTGCAACCACGAAATTTTATGTTCTTCTGTCACAGGAAAAGTAAAATTACTTATAAACAAGAAAAATTAATTTAAAAAAAACATGTAACAAAAAACTTACCTATTCTGCGAATGAATTCGCCTTTCCTCGAGAACAGCTGCAAACGAGCTTTGGCCTCACCCTTATCAACAACTATATAGCCCTGATTGTAATAAGAACGATAAGCGACCACTTTTTTGGGATAGCATAAATGCCCCTCTTCAGAACCTGATATTCCAAAACTGACTAACACTTTGTTGGTTTTTGAAAGCACCTAAAAATAAGCATTCTGTAATTAATGCATGCACTTGATTAAAACATAAGTAAATAATAATCAAAAGTATTAGAAATGAAACTAATATAATGGCCGACAAAACCTGTATTCTGTGATTATTTGTATCAGCAACAAGTATTTCGTCATCCAATCCAAGGCAAAATCCGTTAGGAGTATTAAATTGACCAGGCCCGTAACCCAAACCTCCAGTCTGCCAAAGAAGACGCAAATCTGACGCCGCTGCATTATTTTTAGGTGCAGATGACCTCCATGTCGATAAAATTCCCTGAAAAACCATCAGTGTAAGTCCCATAATAAACCTCTAAAAGTCAGCTTAGGATGCCAAAACCTTACCACTGGTAAAAGCTGGCGCTCGTGAAGAATGTTCTGCCCTAGCGGCACCTGTTCAGGTGTCACACACTGAGACTGCCTTCCCAGACCAGGTGCAAGAGGGTCAAAAACCCCAGTAGGAATCATTCGACAAGCCGCAGTATCTGCCAGAGAGTCGCAAAGAGATGGGTAACTTTGGCGCTGCCTTAAAGAGGCTCCAAAACCGTTATTCGGCAACTGTGCTCCTACCACAGCTGCTTGTGAATTCTTAAAAACCTCAATTATTTATCCATTTAATCCCAGTCAAAACATTCAGGAAGCTGTAAACGGTGTAAATGCGAGAAAAATAAACATTAAAATTACTTACCGCCCAAACATTACCAGCAGCCTGCACTCCTAAAACACTACTCATTTTCGTAGCCAACTGCTGAGCCAGCAAGTTGGAAGAAATGACATTACTTGGCAAAGTAGACGCGACTGGTCGAATTAGCCCACTACTTTCAGAAACCAGAGGGGGATTGGAACTTGGTGGCCAGTTGTATACTGATGATTCACCGCTAGTAACTGTGCTGTGATTTGCCTAAAGCCAGTACCATTAAAGCATCCATCCATTTACGGCGAAAAACACCAAAAGTTTCAAAATCATTTTCAGACTCCAAACTGCTCTTTTCACAGCCAAAAATAAATAAACCGATCAAGCAAACGAACACTAAAATCGTTTGGAGGTGAAGGAGTAGGCGGCTCCGGCGGTAAACTTGAGGGAGGCCAACCATTCGAAAAATCAGAATTAGAGTTAGTCGCCGAAAGAGTTCCAGATTTGTGTCGACGTTCCATACCTATTGCTCCTGGACCAGCAACTAAAATTGCAATTCTATTAAAAAACAAAAGGAAGAAACAAGCAGACAGTAAAAACTGACCATAAGCGGAAAATGCCGAAGAAGCCGTTGGTTTAATGTGCGTAGTGCTCGGCTTTGAAGTAATCACAGAAGTATTCGGTAACCGCGCAGGAGAAGAATCTGAAGGAGTCACTAGAATAGACGAAGTTTGTATTTGGAATGGTGAAATTACAGGAGGTAGCTGTTTGAAGTTTCGTGGTTCATCACGCAACGAATTCAGAAACGCTTCGCTTTTAGTATTATTCAAAGAATCTTGGCCTGAAATAAAACACGTCATCTAGAATTGAATTCGTAAAAAGAAAATTACTGAACCCAAAAACACTTTCCAAGAAAATGCAGGAAAAACGTACGGGCAACACGTCCAACAATCTTATAAAGACCGTTAACAATATCTTTGTATGTTGGACGCTCAAATGAAAGTTGCGTGATAGAGTTCATGTCTGGCATAGAATGCATCAGTAAAGTTAGCTGCTGAAGTACTTTCTTCCTACTGGCCAATACTTCTAACTCAGTCCCTTGGTCGACCAACCGATTAGTAAACCTAAATCTCTTCCTCCCAGTATTAAAAAATATGAGAAGTGAGAGAACTGGTAAGACATCACTCTATTGTTCATTTTTCAATTATATTAAGACTATTCGAGATGAGACTTACGCTACGGCATCGGTAATTTTCGCAATCGTAGCGTGAAACCTTCTGGAATAGTCTTCAAGCTTTGCCTCGCTGCTGTCCCTCTCAGTGTCCAGATCCTTCATTACTTTACTCTTGACTTCGTCCACTGCACGCGTGATATCAGAAAACAAATCCTCAATTGCATTAACGGCGCTATCGTACTGATCGGCAAGAGTCTGTTGTTGTTTGGGAATTGAGCTACAAGTCTCCTCCCCTTCTTTAGACTAAAAATTACTTTCTCAACAAGCCTGTCAACGTGAAACTATATAAAGTTTGAGACTAGAAGTTAAGAGAATGCTTACTTTCAGTGCAGCTGAGTTGGCAGCCTTCATAAGCTCGTTTTTGACCAGCTTTCCAACCCGTTCATCAACATTTACCAAACTGTGGCCATCAGAATGGTCGAGCTGGCAGTACTGACAAATTAAAACTTCACAAGTTGCACACAGTATGGTGCAAGGAATCTGGATGTGTTTCAAACAGGTGACCGGTTCACGAGGCAGTTCAAAAGATTTTGAAGAAAGTTCATCATAAGTATAGACCTTAAAATAAGCTCATATAAGAATGACAAAATAAAGGTAGGAAAGTAGAAAGCATAAAATCATGTAAAATGAAAAAACTGATTGAACTCACGTGATGACCATCAAACAACTTCATATCTCGATGAGCTTGAACGCAGTTTTTACATAAATCACTAGAGCATTCTTTACAAACAGCAATAGCCGGCTGTTCACTTTTGCAGGCTCGACAAGACCGAGCGCTATCTTTCAAACAATCATTATTGTGCAAACGTACATAATCCAATAGCATTTGACTAACAAACCGCTCATCATTACCCACATGACTTTCCTAAATTGATCTACCAATTTCTTTTTCATTATAGGTTAAATACTGCGCAATAAAGTAGAAACATTTTTTCCGCATCAAGTTGAAATCAGCTCGATTCAACCTAACACGATACCTAATTCACATCTGTCTTGAATTTAAAAATAAATAAGAAAACTATGCCTGATAACAAACTGAGCAACGAATCATTCCAGGTGGCGTTGGGCGAGACTGCGACGTATTTTCAAGCACGCAATCAGTTGAAGATGCTACATTTCCACTACGCGCAGCCTCGCCATCTCCTATTTGAGCAATAATACAATCTTCACACATTGAGTGAAGACAGTCGAGAACTCGAGGCTAAAAAAACTCATGGGATTGGAGAAACCAGATCGCCTAGCGAGACAACACTGTCATAAAATTTTTCAAAGATACGAACTTTTCAAATTTCTAAAGCCAAATTGAAAAAAAAAACCTTTCTAAATGGTTTGGCACAATATGGACACATAGGATCATCACTTGATGGTAGGGGAGCAGTATCCAAAAGCGGGCTTGAATCTGCAGAGCGTGGACCTTCCTCGGAACTTTTTTCCCCATTTAAAGATGGTGGACTATCTTGCAAATGCTAAACCAAAAGCAGTTAGAAAATTATCCTATACGCTCAAAATAAAAAAAAAGAAACAAAACCTGATTGCCAAAACATAGAAAAAAAATGTAAGTTTTCAATCCTAACGTTACGTTCTGCGTTATAAAAATGAAACTGCCCAAAACAAAAAATTTAAACAGTCCTCAGAGTACTTCATCAAAAAAATTTGTGATAAATAGCGGTTTTTCGACTGATATCATGTAGTGTACGTAAACATATAAAATATTAAAAAAAAGAGAGAGAGCACGATAGTGAAAAAACAAGTTTTATAACTAGTCGAGACGCCTGAAACGGTACATCTCAGTTAAAACTAGTTAACTTCCGTATTTCAAACTTCGTTTCAAAAGCCAACCCTGCAGTGAGACAATCGTGATCAATATAAAAATCCTTTAAAGTAGCAACTTTGCAAATTTACTGAAAATATTTACAAAAAATAAAACATCATGTTTTAAGTCTATCGAATGCAACTGTTGGTAACCAAGTACCAGTGCACTACCAGGTTTTACACAAGTTTACAGAACTAATTCCCGAATAAAAACCATGTGACTAGGCGGCACCAAACTCTATTAAACTACTTGGGAAAGTGCTTTTATAAAAAAGTAAAGTAAAATAAAGCAATTAGTTTTAGTAAAACATAAAGAATTTCAATCCAAAAACATTCTACGGAAGCAGTTTTAATGAATATCTGTCACTGAAGAACAGGCCATCGACATAATACTCAGAATAAAAATTTGGGGAACAATAAAGAAAGTAATAGCTTTAGGAAAACTTTTAGAGCCATAAAGCCAAATTAAGCCACTTTTTGTAACTTTAAAACTTCTTTAACTGGAAGAGCCTAAAAAAATAATCAAGCAACATGCGGGACTACGTATTTTGTTAGCTTTTTTTGTTAAAACAACTATCGCAGGTGTAATTCGTTTCTTCCACTGTTTTTATCATACCCAAAACCATAAAATATAAAAATAAAACTGTCTCATTCCAACAAAACTATCTGTAAATGAGTAGTTTAATAAACTTCTGAATCTCTATCAGTTAAGCGTACAAAAAAATGTGAATATATATGAAAATACATGAAAATTCTTCTTACTTTTCCACCGTCTGGTGATGTACCGCTGCCAGCGTTTTCATCGAACATTCCGGTCATCACACACTTTAATAGTATGTCAAAAAGATGTCGATTATTCACCCAGTTTAATAGCCAATATCCAAAAAGGTTGTTGTTGTTGCTGTTGTTGTTATCAAACAAGGAAAAACAAAGCTACGTAAAAGAAAAACATAAAAATACAAAAATAATTTTGTTTTTTTCTTCCTTGATATTCCTCCTTTTCTTTCAGTTATCTCGACAACACTGACATTCAAGACGTTGAATCTGTGTGACCTTCAAATCGCAAAATAGTTTCTGAAAAATGAAAACAAAAAAAAACATCTATTAAAAAAAATATTAAACCAATAAACGATAACAAACTTCTTCCACCATAATAACATCATTACCATCATCAGCAACAACAGCAGCAGCAGCACCACCACCATCAAGGCGACCTGATAAAAACCATAACAACAACAACAACAACAACATTCCAACACTAAACAGAAAACTAGTAAAAAAAAAGAAAAAACCACAAAAAAAAGGAACATGAAAAGAATAATCAAAAGAGAACAAGAAAAAAAAAGTTTATAGAAAAGAATAAACGAAAAGAAATTTCTATTTTTTTTTTTTTCTTCTTCTTCTTGTTGCTCTTATTATTACCGTTGTTGTCGTTTTATACATAGAATCGTCTTGGTTACACACCTATAATATAACTGACAAACATACATTAAACTACTTGCCAACATTATGTTTGCACAAAAAAAAAAGCAACAACGTTCTCCTTTTTTCAAACAAATTATATTTTATTTTTGGATACACGAATCATGATAATAAAAATAATAACAATAAAAATGAAAAGAAAAAAAAAACTTTCCCTCCCAGTTTTTCATCCATATTTATTCCAGCTAATTTTTTTTCCCTTTTCCTCTTCGCTCTTCCTTTTTTCCATTATTCTCTCTACAATTTCTAAGTCAATTATTTTAAAAGATTTTTTTTTTTTGCTTTGTTTCGAAATTAAAAAAATGAACAATGATAAAATGAAGACAAAAAACATAAAAACATAAACATAAACAAAAAAAAAAAAAC